AAATAAATAAATAAAATATTTAAAAAAAAAATAAGGACAGACAAGAGTAGCTTGAAGAATGAGAAAGACTTACCATCTCCATCTTCTCCATAGGCCAGGAAAGGAGGTATGGTGATGATGCGCTTTTCCCCCACACACATCCCCAACAGCCCTTTATCCATTCCAGGAATCAGCCAGCCAATGCCCACATATGTGTCATACGTTTTCATGCGATTATGACTGAAAACCAATGAGAAAGGGGGAAAGTTCCATGCTACTGAGGGTGTTTCCAACTCATTCCTCAATAAGGTTTTAAGTACCCACTTATCAGCTAAATAGTGAAACTATACCCATCCCTGACGACAGGTATTTTTGGATCTTTGTTCCCAAAGACAGCAGAAGTCCTCAAAGTTAGAAGAAATGAAAATCGTGTAATTAAATCACAGTGATTCAGAAAACTAGGCCTGCTACTCTATCTAACCAAATACACTATAACAACAGGAAAGCCCTAAGGGTTCGCTGTTCTCTAGCTTAGCACCTTATTCCTAGCACTTGTCCATAGCTTCATAAACATTCAGGCTTTCCCTCTTCCTTCCATGGGAAAACTATAAAAATGGACCCAAAAAATGCATCAACCTACTTGGAAATAGGGCCCTTCACTTAATGATGAGCTCCCAAGACAGTTAATTTAGATAAACACTGTTCTTACGTTTCTGTAAAATGTATTAAAATTTTGATTCTGGCTTTACGGAGCATGACACATTAACCAAAAGCCATGAGTGAAGGAGTTGACATTAATGGAAATTGGGAAGAGTCTCCCTTCTGGTTTCTCCACGGGCATAAAAAGCAGGGGAGACAGAAGGAACTAAGGGGCATTTCACCAATACTACTTGGAATGGCGGCACTTACCTTGAATCAAACAGTGTCCCATCCAAGAACGTTCCATTGTAGTGGTACCTTACAAAATCAGACACCTGGATGGTCCGAGGGCAACTGGGAGGTGTGAAATAAGTGTGAACCTGAACTTGATCTTCAGAATTCCAAATGTCCATCAGGAGTACATCAAAATGAAGAACTGAATCTGGGGGGATCACACCAGCTAAAAATTAAAGAGAATTCGCACTGAGAAGCTGCTGCCTTTCAGGCCAGACGAATAAACACCTAGGATGCTGCCCAGGTGTTCAAGGGAGTCACTGAACAATTCCAAAATGGGTCATGCTCCCTCTCCCTCTTTCCTCCAAATAAAATTGAAAGAAATGAGAAAAAAATGGTCTTCCTCTCAACAAGGGTGACATTCAATTCACCTGTGTTAATAACAACTTCTTTTATATCTAGAAGAAATGAACCAAAGATGAAATTTTAGCTCTCTCTGTGTGTGTGTGTGTGCGTGCGTGTGTGTGTTCACTGCTTCTCACTGTCCTCGATTTAAAGCTTCTGAAGATTCTCTGATCTGCCTGACTGAATACCCTTCAAATGTTCTGGTTGTTTCTGCAAACGTGTTTACAAACATGGTACAAAAACTTACAAACTCCTTCACTTCCATAGGCAAGCTTTGGGGGGATCTTCACAAAGCGCCTCTCATTTACACACATCCCAACCAGAGCTTGGTCCATGCCTGCAATCAGTTGTCCTTTTCCCACAAACACGTTGAAAGTGGAGTCTCTGTCATAGCTGAAGACCCAAGAGGTAGAGAAAAAGAAAAGTATAAGTTAATCCTTCCCTTAGTGAAACCAAACAGTGAAAATGTACCCATGGACAGAGTGAGGTCACTGGAAAGCAAAAACAGCCTGGAGAGGAGTTACCGACACAGGAAATGTCCTCACTAACGGTAGTTCGTTGGCTGGAATTTTTTAATTACTTTGAACATTGCCAGCAAATCTAGTTAGATAAGCAACCTTCCTTATATATATCATTTTGCAAAGTAGCTACCAATACTTCCACTAAAAAAGTTTATTCCATTTCTATGTGATCGGTATTTAAAAGCAACAACATAAGCAAAATCTTTAAAAAAAAAAAAAGAAGAAGTAACCTGACCCTCATGAGGAAACGGAGGCACAGATTTGCCCAGGGTCACGCAGTCAGTTAAGAACACAATTTGGACTACAATTCAAGAGGATAGCTATTGCCCATGGGATCAATGAGCCTGAAAGATGTATGGCTGAGTTCCTCACAGATGAGGAAACTAAACTCAGCCACATTAGGCTCACCTGGCTCCTACAGAAGAGGTAAGATGAGAAAATCTGCTGCAGAGTGAAAAATCACTCCAGTTCCCCATCACTGTGCAAGAGAAACTAAACTAACAGAAACTTCACAGGGGAGAAACTCCTAGCCAAAGCTGGCCCATATACACCCCTTATGATATAGTACACCTAACAGTTGATAAAAGTACTTTTACAACACACCCTATCTCTTCTACACTAAATTATTAGTATACTTTTCTTTTCCATCATCTCCACTTTTGAAAACATTACCTTATATCTGAATAACGTTTTACAGTTTACAAAGGTATTTTTCACATACACTCTCATTTTTTTAAAGATTTTATTTTTAAGTAATCTCCACACCCAACGGGGGCTTGAACTCCTGCCCCCAAGATCAAGAGCTGCATGCTCTGCCAACTGAGCCAGCCAGGCACCCCTACACTCTCTCATTAAATCCCTGCAGCAACCTTGTGGGGGATTACCATAAATCCAGGATTAGCAGATGCTCCTCCATGAATTTAATGACCGCTTCTCAGGGGGCTGGAGAGGGGCAGGGGGACACCTTAAACATATGCATCTGTGGTTAAATACACCCCTAGACCATTTCAGAGAAGCTTAAATGTAAAATCTTTGTAAATAGTATTACTTAGGGGGTGCCTAGGTGGCTTGGTCAGTTAAGCATCTGACTCGGTTTTAGCACAGGTCATGCTTTCATGGGTTGTAGGATTGAGCCCCGCTTAGGACTCCACGCTCAGTGGGGAGTCTGCTTGAGATTCTCTCTCTCTGCCCCTCACCCGCCCCGCTTGCAGGTGTGCTCTCTCTCCAAAATAAGTAAATAAATCATTTTTTAAAAATTAGTGTTTCTTAGGGGCACCTGGGTGGCTCAGTCAGTTAAGCAGCTGCCTTCGGCTCGGGTCATGATCTCAGGGTCCTGGGATCGAGTCCCATGTCCGGCTCCCTGCTCAGCAGAGAACCTGCTTCTCCCTCTGCCTGCTGCTCCCCCTGCTTGTGCTCTCTCTCTATCTCTCTGTCAAATAAACAAATCTTTAAAATAAATAAATAAAGATTAGTGTTACTTAGAATCAAGGATGTATAATACTTTCATTAGCATTTTACAGATAAGAAAACCAATTCAGATAGACCTTGTTCAAGAAAACAGCACAGCTATAGAAAGAATTCAGATGTGTAAAAACCAACAGCCCCCCCCATCCCTGCCACATATTTTTCTGTGTCTTATTTCTTGGCTGCTCTCTCTAACATACACACACATACACACAATGGATGCTTATTAAGTACCAAGCACACTTCTAAGTGCTTTCTATGTATTGATTTATTTAATTCTCATGATAATCCTATATTCCCAATCTAAGAGTGTTTAGAAGGTAATTTGGAAATTGGGGAACAGAAAATGAGGAAGCAATGCTTCCACAACCCCTCGGACAGAATCCATTCTCCCCTTCAGGACTACAAACACAGCCACGCATCCGAATTTCAGAGCGGACCCTGTGGAACAGAGTAGATAGCAGAGGGCCAGAGCCTTTCCAGAAGGCCTACTCACTCCCTTCCACTAACCCCACAGGGGAAAAATGGCCTCAACAAAATGAAATGCCAAGAATGGAGCTGGAGAACCCAATGGAGAGCCCAGCATCTCATTCCTTCCACAAATATTTATTGAATGTTTACTATGTGCTTGGCCCTGTGGTATGTCCTCCAAGTCCTGACACCCTTCTGGGGTCAGTCCCTGAGGGATTAGCATTAAGTCCTATGCAAAACCCACAAAGAGGCCAGGGAGACACTAATCCAAAGAAGAAAGAGGTGCCCCCCCCATCCCTGTGCAAGAGCACCTGGGTGGTACCTGTCAGAGCGTCCCAGCCCCCACAACAACATATGATTTGGGATAAAGCAGCCTCATACCCACAGAATTTATGAGCCTTTGGATGTTTCCCAGAGCCTTATATAATTCTTTGCAGAGCTCTGTCTCATACTTGGTAGAAAGCCAAAAGGAAAAAAATAATTTAAGCAAATGTTTTCCATTAATATGTTATTTTTAGAGAAACGAAGGATTAATCCTGAGGGCTTAGTAAAACACGAATACTCAGAAAGTATTTGTCTATTTCTGTATGTATTTGAGTAGAAGTTTACAGGATACAAAACAATGGAGCATCAAGACACAAACAGGACATGAAGCAAGGCCTGTTGAATATGTCTTAAGCTGTGAACTGGTGTGGCTTTTACAAATCAAAAATTTAATGGGGCACCTGGCTGGCTCAGTCAGTAGACCATGCGATTCTTGATCTCGGGGTGATAAGTTTGAGCCCCACAATGGGGGTAGAGTTTACTTAAAAGAAAAAGAATTTATTGTATTTATTAGTGTAGGTGGACGTGTATTTTCACTTCATGGTTGTATTAGTTTCCTATTGTTACTATAACAAATTTCCACAAATTTGGTGGCTTAAAGCAATGCAGATTTATTCTCATAACTCTGGAGGGTCAAAAGTCTGAATTCAAGGTGTTGGCAGGGATGCATTCCTTTTGGAGGCTTCGGGGGAGAATCTGTTTCCTCACCTTTTCCAGCTCCCTATAGCTGCCCTCATTCCTTAACCTGTAGCCCCTTCCTCCAACTTCCAAGCCAGCAGCTTAGCATTTTCTCTTCTCTCTGACCTCCTGCTTCCCTCTTACAAAGGCTCTTGTAAGTACATCAAGGCCACCTGAATGATCCAGAATAATCTCCCCCTCTCAAGATCCTCACATTAATCACATCTGCAAAATCCCCTCCACTATGTAAGGTAACATATTCACAGGTTCTGGGGATAGGACGGGGACATCTTTTGGGATGGCTATTCCGCCTACCACATTACAATGTTTATTCCTGCATGATGGGATTATGGGAGATTTTTGTTTTCTTTCGTTATCTGTATTTTCTTTTTTCTAAAGTCAACATGTATCATTTGTATAATATTTAAAAGGGGATTTGCTGGGACGCCTGGGTGGCTCAGTCGGTTAAGCATCTGCCTTCAGCTCAGGTCATGATCCCAGGGTCCTGGGATCAAGTCCCACATTGGGCTCCTTGCTCAGCGGGGAGCCTGCTTCTCCTTCTGCCTGCCGCTCCCCTGCTTGTGCTCTGTCTGACAAATAAATAAAATCTTTTAAAAATAAATAAACAAAATAAAAGGGGTTTTCTATTAGAGTGACAAAAGTGTTCTAAAATCGGGTTAGGGTGATGGTTACCCAACTCACTACATTTACTAAAAGTCACTGAATTGGGGATGCCTGGGTAGTGCAGTCAGTTAAGAATCCGACTCTTGGTTTCAGCTCAGGTCACAATCTGAGGGTCGTGGGATCAAGCCCTCTGTCAGGCTCTGTGCCCAGCACGGAGTCTGCTTGAGATTCTCTCTCCCTCTCCCTCTGCCCCTCCAGCTCATGCTCTCTCTCTTTAAAATAAATAAATAAATCTTTAAAAGTCACTGAATTGTACACTTAAAATGGATAAATTTTATGGCATATAAATTATACCTCAATAAAACTGTTAAAAAACAAAAAACAAAAAGGGGGAGGTTTGCAATATACATTCAAATGGCTCAACAACAACAGCAACAAACAAAAAAACGTAATTAGAGAAAATAAACACAGCAAGATGTTAACAGTTGATGAATCTAAGAGTTCATCTCACAGTTCTTTCAAATTTGGCGTAGGTCTAAGAATTTCCAAATAGGAAAACGGGCAGTGGAGACAAGAGGAAAGAACAGACCATTTCTAGAAACCAAAGCTATTTGGACATTCAAGTCTTTAATGGGACTTCAGCTTCCACATTTTGGCCCTCAAGAAGCCCTGACTGCTTGGAAGCAGCCAGCACTCACCTCTTCCTTCCTCTCCATAGCCGAGGTGAGGGGGAACCACAATCCTCCGCTTCTCACCGATGCAAACACCCAGTAGACCTTCATCCATGCCAGCAATCACGTAGCCCTGCCCAATGTACGTGTCAAAGGTGCGGTTCCGTGAGTAGCTAGAAAGAAGGAAAGAAAGAGGTTCCTCACAACCAACACCACAGCAGCTGGGTACGTTAGTTGGCACCACAAGGCAACAGGAAGGCAGAGCACTCCAGACCCTGGAATAGGCTGAAACTTAGAACGTGAGGACACAGCCTGGAAACACACTCCCCTGAGAACCCACATTCCCAAGAACTCACACACACAAAGTGGGAGCAGCTGTGTACAAAAACACTCCCAGAAACAAGCCCTCCATCCCTCTGGCTTGGTCAGGTTATGGATGAGAAGCACGTGACAAGAAGCAACCACACAGAAATGCAGCTACTATACATTGGACTGTGCTCGGTAACCGGGTCAAGTTAATGCAAAAAGCATCCAGGGTGGCCCTTATTAGAAACTAAAATCTGTCACAAGGACAATGTCTCCAGTATCTAAAGAAGAGAATATCTGTATATATGAGACAGAATATTTGGATTGCCATAAAAGTAACACAAATACAGAGAGCAATTCAACTCTGCAGTCCCTACCAGAGCCTGGATGGCTCTTCCTACTGTAATCCCTGCTCACCAAGCGACCTTCTGGTGAGTTACTTGGGTTTCCCAAGTGCCACTGGCAGGAGACCCAAGCATTCTGCTCAGGGGAGAGATCCAGCCTTTGTATAAACTGCCAACTGAATCCAATTCCTGTGAGTTTGGTGAGGACAGCAATCAATTACCCAAAGCCAGATGTTTCTAGAATAAAATAATAAAACTTAATATGCCACGTCTACTACCAAAGTCTGAACCACAGTGATCTGCACTCATGTGGCAAAAAGCCTGTCCTGAAAGAGCCAGTCCGTTCCACCATTACCTCAAACACAGCCAAAGGATGACTGCCTCAGAGACGACGGCCAGCCGAGTGGGGCCAGGGGGATGAAAAGACTGAGCTGTGAGAGGTTCTCCCTCCTCAGTAGCCCTCAGAGACCAAACACAAAGCCAAGGGCCGTGAAAAATGACAATACTGATGATTCTCCTCACCCAGGAAGCCGATCATCTACATAGCCCCCCAGAAGAGGCTATGGAGAAATACCCTTTCCCCCACATTGTGGAGTTCCAGCCCTCAGCCCCTCACATGGGCCAGGAAGGCCAGGATGAGAACACAGCCAAGGAAGGCAGGCTTGGCCCCCTAACATTCTCTCACCTTCCCCTGGTTACTAGCTCTCTGGCCAGTACTTGGAGATCATCAGCATTCAGGAAAGAGGAGGACACCTCCCAGATGGGGTTCCTTATAAAGGGACACTAAGCAGGGGGAGATGGCAGGTGCCTCAGAGAAGGTTGAGCCACTGGATGAAGCAGCAAAGGTTCCATGGGGTTGGGGGAGACAGCAGACACTGAGGAGGTGGAATCTGCACAGAGGAAAGCACTGGGGTGACAGTGAGGCCAAGGCCAAGAGGCAGGAAGAGCCTCAGAAGACAAGAACAAAGGAGCAGAGTGGCCATGAAATGTAGAGAACTTCGAATAACTTTAAAAGAGGGCTTAAATGGGAATCCATCATGTTCCCCAGGGGGAAAACTGAGAACTGGAAAGTTGTCACTGCTCCCCCAAACTAACTTATGAATTTTGGAACAATTCCAATCAAAATCAGAGTGGTGTGTATGGGGGAGGAGAGGAACTCAAAAATTAATCTGGAAAAAAAAAATTTAAAATGATGTTTTGAGGGGCGCCTGGGTGGCTCAATCTGTTGAGTGTCCTACTCTTGATTTCACCTCAGGTAATAGCCTCGAGGTCATGAGATAGAGCCCCCATCAGGCTCCATGCTCAGCAGGGAGTCTGCTTCTCTTTCTCCCTCTGCCCCTCCCCCTACTTGTGTTCGCTCTAAAATAAATAAATAAATTTTTTAAATGAATGAATGAATGAATAAATAAAATTATGTTTTGGGGGCACCTGGTTGACTCAGTCAGGACAGCATGCAACTCTTGATCTCAGGGTCATGGGTTTGAGCCCCACATTGTGGGTAGAGATTACTTAAAAAAAAACAAAAAGCCACAAAACTTAAAAATGCTGTTTGGAAGGTACAGGATATAGCAAGCTCTCATTCCTGTAAAAAATTAAACTGAGAGAATGTAAGTATTTCACTGTATATGTGTGGAAGACCTATGAAATTAAAAACACTGGCTCCCTGTGGAGAGAGAAGTACTTGAGTTTGAGCCTCACAATGGGTATAAAGATTATTTTTAAAAAATTAAAATCTTGGGACGCCTGGGTGGCTCAGTCGGTTAAGTGTCTGCCTTCGGCTCAGGTCATGATCCCGGGGTCCTGGGATCGAGCCCCGCATTAGGCTCCCTGCTCAGCAGGGGCCCTGCTTCTCCCTCTGCTGCTCTGCCTGCCCCTTCCCGTTTGTGTGCGTGCGCTCTCTGACAAATAAATAAATAATCTTAAAAAAAAAATTTAAAATCTTCCAAAAAAAAAAAGTCACATTTTAGACAAGGGAAAAATAGTTTTCAGTAAAGGGTGTTTGAAAAACTAGCTAGCCATCTGGAAAAACATAAAATTAGATCCTTATTGTCACAATGAATACCGCAATAAATTCCAGATGGATTGAAGATTTAAACATGAAAGATTTATGAACATGGAGAAACATTGTGGAAGGTTATTAATATTTACCTCAGGGGACTAAAGGGGCTAATGGGAAATTATTACATTTTATTACACATCTTTGTATTGTTTCACTTATACAATAAGAACCTACTACTTTTCTTTAAGTAGGCTCTATGCCCAACATGGAGTCTGAACTCACAACCCCGAGATCAAGAGTCACATGCTCTACCAACCGAGCCAGCCAGGCACCCAAGAACATAATACTTTTTAAAATAGAAATTTTAATAAAGAATATTTTAAAGGATAAAAATATAAAACCATTAAAGGGGCTTGAGGAAAATATAGACAAATGTTTATATACTCTAGAGGAACAGATTTTTTATTTCTAGCAAGTCCCCAAAGACAGAATATATAATAATTTATATAAGAATAGAGGACACCATAAAGGAGAAGGTAAATGTATTTAACAACATAAAAAGTTTACATTTAAATAGGTCCAAAATCACAATAAGCAAAATAAAAATGCGAATAAACACAGAATATGCTTTTGACAATACACAGTCATCAGTGGGTTACTATCTTTAATGTACAGAGGTCTTCTATCTTCAAATCAATAAGGAAAGGACAAATACTAATACCTTCAACATAAAAACAGGCAAAAGATACAAACAGATAAATCACAAAAGAAGATATACAAGGGGCGCCTGGGTGGCTCAGTTGGTTAAGCGACTGCCTTCGGCTCAGGTCATGATCCTGGAGTCCCTGGATTGAGTCCCACATTGGGCTCCCTGCT